GCCCGTGAGCCATGGCCACTGAGCCTGCGCGTCCAGAGCTTATGCTCCGCAACGGGAAAGGCCACAACAGTGAGAGGCCCGCGTACCCGCCCCCCCCCCAAAAAGAGGCATAACTTTTAAAACCGGGGACTTTTAAAATCGGGGAAATATAGAGGGACCATAAATTAGAAGTAGCCGGAAACACTGACTTTAGCACAAGGCCACCCTGCAGGAACTTGTGACAGGAACATGCAAATCACAAGAGTGATAGTATAAGCACGTGTGTAGGCATAGAAAGAGGCCTGGAAGGAGGTGCTCCACACTGTTAAGAGGAGTAGTCTTTGGATGTTTGGCTTTCAGGTAATTTATACCTTCTTTCCACTTTTGTATACAGTTCAAATGTTTTATAATGACTATGTACTTTTTTACAATCAGAGAAATGAAGCTATTGTACTTTCAAAAAATAGGTATAGTCCTTTATCACAGAAAATAATAGTCCCACTATATTCTGCGTGGATAAAACCACATCTTAGGATCTTGTCTACTGCTGGCCTGGAAGAAGCAAGTGGCCGTACTGTGAACTGCCTATGGAGAGGGCCACATCGTGGGAAACTGGGGACTGCTTCAGGGGCTGAGAGTGGCCTCTGGCCAACAGTCAGCAAGAAACTGAAGCCCTTGTGGTACAGCTGCATAGAAGTGAATTCTGCAACAACCTGAGTGAGCTTGGAAGTGAATTCTTCCCCAGTTAAGTCTCAAAATAAAAACACATTCTGGCTGACACATTGATTGCAATCTTGTGAGACTCAGAGCCGGAGGACCCAGCCAAGTCACGCCTGGAACTCCTGACCTGCAGAAACTAAGAGACAGTAAATGTGTGATGTTTTAAGCCACTAAATTTGTGGCATTTTTTTTTAACACAGCAATAAAGAACTAATAGGGCCTCCCACCAGCAGTGTCTGAGAATTTGAAATGCTTTCCATCAAACCTCTTGTTTTTTTTTTAACATCTTTATTGGGGTATAATTGCTTTACAATGGTGTGTTAGTTTCTGCTCTACAACAAAGTGCATCAGTCACACATAAACATATGTTCCCATATGTCTTCCCTCTTGCATCTCCCTCCCTCCCACCCTCCCTATCCCACCCCTCCAGGTGGTCACAAAGCACCGAGCCAATATCCCTGTGCCATGCAGCTGCTTCCCACTAGCTATCTACCTTACTACGTTTGTTAGTGTGTATATGCCCATGACTCTCTCTCGCCCTGTCACAGCTCACCCTTCCCCCTCCCCATAACCTCAAGTCCGTTCTCTAGGAGGTCTGCGTTTTTATTCCTGCCTTACCCCTAGGTTCTTCATGACATTTTTTTTTCTTAAATTCCATATATATGTGTTAGCATACGGTATTTGTCTTTTTCTTTTTGACTTACTTCACTCTGTATGACAGACTCTAGGTCTATCCACCTCATTACAAATAGCTCAATTTCGTTTCTTTTTATGGCTGAGTAATATTCCATTGTATATATGTGCTACATCTTCTTTATCCATTCATCCGATGATGGGCACTTAGGTTGTTTCCATCTCTGGGCTATTGTAAATAGAGCTGCAACGAACATTTTGGTACATGACTCTTTTTGAATTTCGGTTTTCTCAGGGTATATGCCCAGTAGTGGTATTGCTGGGTCATATGGTAGCTCTATTTGTAGTTTTTAAAGGAACCTCCATACTGTTCTCCATAGTGGCTGAACCAATTCACATTCCCACCAGCAGTGCAAGAGTGTTCCCTTTTCTCCACACCCTCTCCAGCATTTATTGTTTCTAGATTTTTTGATGATGGCCATTCTGACTGGTGTGAGATGATATCTCATTGTAGTTTTGATTTGCATTTCTCTAATGATTAATGATGTTGAGCATTCTTTCATGTGTTTGTTGGCAGTCTGTATATCTTCTTTGGAGAAATGTCTATTTAGGTCTTCTGCCCATTTTTGGATTGGGTTGTTTGTTTTTTTGTTATTGAGCTGCATGAGCTGCTTGTAAATTTTGGAGATTAATCCTTTGTCGGTTGCTTCATTTGCAAATATTTTCTCCCATTCTGAGGGTTGTCTTTTGGTCTTGTTTATGGTTTCCTTTGCTGTGCAAAAGCTTTGAAGTTTCATTAGGTCCTATTTGTTTATTTTTGTTTTTATTTCCATTTCCCTAGGAGGTGGATCAAAAAGGATCTTGCTGTGATTTATGTCATAGAGTGTTCTGCCTATGTTTTCCTCTAAGAGTTTGATAGTTTCTGGCCTTACATTTAGGTCTTTAATCCATTTTGAGCTTATTTTTGTGTATGGTGTTAGGGAGTGATCTAATCTCATACTTTTACATGTACCTGTCCAGTTTTCCCAGCACCACTTATTGAAGAGGCTGTCCTTTCTCCACTGTACAAACCTCTTGTTTTGACAGTCCTTTTAACTTCGGCCATGCTGGTGGGTGTGCAGTGTGATTTTAATTTTAATTTTCTAGATGACTAATAATGTTCAGCACTTTTTCATATGCTTATTGGTCATTTGGATCGACTCTTTTATGAAGTGTCTTTCAAGTATTTTTCCGATTAAAAAAATGAGTTGCCTGTCTTTTGGTCACTGAGTTTAGGAGTTATTTATACTGGATATGAGATGTTGTGGGATACATGATTAAAAATCTCTTCTCCCAGCCTGGAGCTTGCCTTTTCACTCCCTTAATTATGTCTTTTAATGAAAATAAAAATGTTCTCAATTTAATTTGTTTTTTCCCCAGTTTTATTGCGATATAATTGACATAATATTGTATTAGTGATGTGAACTTCACCTCAATTAATAAAAAAAAGGTCTTCTGACTCCAAATAAAATTCTCTTTTCATTTTTTAAGACCAAATGTTTCTCTTGGGAGAGTAGAAAGATGAAAGCACGTTTTGGTTCAACATAAGTGAGAGTTTTCAGAGTTGTCAAATAGTGTAATGGGCTGACTTGTGATCTATACTTACACTGGAAGCATTCTAACAGGGACCGGACAACTGTCTATAATGAATATTGTAGAAGGGACTGCTAAATCTCCTTCCAACATGAAGATTCAAGGATTCTATTCTCTTGAAGAGCTTATCTCTTGGAGAGATCAGAATTTGAGCATAACACAAGACAGAGTATAATCAAATATAGGTCTGTGTGGTAGAGACTACAAATAGAAGGCGATAATGTTGGAAACAAACTAAGCAAACTGCAAATGTGTCAAATAAAAGTGTGCTATGTGTTTATAATGCTATTTTTAAATTCATCTATTGTAGATCTTTTAAAATAAGTCATTTGAAAACAGTGCTCCTTTTTAACAAAATTTACCTAGGTGGTTGGTGAGATTAGCCGGTAGTGGCAGTGGCTGAAGAGACAAAAATGCAGTGCAGTCTCGTAGAAAAGCTAAGATAGTGATTTGGTCACAAAGAGAGCCAAAATTCTACAAGGTTGAGCAATCTGGATGTGAGGGACAGGCCCAGGCCACAGCCACAGCTGGACATACAATTCATGTCACTGGAGAGAGTATAGTCCTTCCAAATAAGAAAGACTCTAAGCTACAACCCCCTTAGTGTGGCTGAAAGGGAGTACTTTGCTGAGACGTAAATTTAAGGGTATTCGCATTTTGGAATGCATGTACGGGTTTCTCACATTATCTCTATATTTAGTAAGGAAGTTTCTGAAGGTAACAAGGGTATTATTAAAGTTGAAAGCAGTATAGCAGTGGTTAAGAGCCTGGGCTCTGAAGTCAGAACTGAATTTGAGGTCTTAACTTCTTAAGACCTCAGTTTTCTCAGCTATCAAAAGGGGGAAATAATAGCGCCTGTCTCATAGGGTAGTTGTGCGCACATCCTTTTGGAACAAAGGTATTCCCAAAATTTATTCATTTAACAAATAATTATTTAGGGCCACAGGCCTTGCATTGACTTACTTTTACTTATACTCAACGTCTAAACCATAGTATTTTGTATTCTTGCGTGATTACGGAACCTTCACGCGAGAGGCTTAAAAACATAGCCCATTGGTTCACGTAATTATCTATGGTGCTTTGAAGTTATTCCTTCTGGCTCCTGGGGTGGGGCTAGAGCCCGAAGCTGGTCACCAGGCCCTCTCATCATCTTCTGGCTGATTGTGAGGTGAGGATTAACTCGGATTTCCCCGTTAGTATTTCTACTCTTCATTTTCTTTATCTTGAACTTTTTATGGTCCCTTTTCTGCTTCTAACTTGCTCTTTCTCAACCATGTGCTTTGAGCACCTGGCGACCTCAGACCTGGTGCTGAGGTTATTTGCTTATTTGATCTTTATTTCTGCCCCCACCCTGTCCCACTCCTCACCCCCGCCCCACTCCCCCCACAGCTCAGGCACCTCTGTAAATACCGCTCACTCCCTTTCCCTCATTTTCCCACTTTTGTTTTAAGCATTTGCCCCGCCCCCTCACATTCCCTCCTTTTTGGTACTCTGCCCGCAGGCGCCCCGCTCCGCCCTTTCACTCTGCTGGCTCCGCCCCTCGTACCCCGCCCCTCCTTTCCCTAGTCCTTGTACGCGCGAAGTGGGTGGTGATGCGGTGACGGGGCGACATCTCTGCACCCACGTTAGCTGCAGAAGCTGCCAAATTTCTCATGTCTTAGCCTCCTCTCCCTGCACCTCCCTAGAGTCGGGTTGCCCCGTCTGGGCCTTTGCGCCTGCAGCCTGCCCGACTCCTCCGTTAAGACCCTTGTCATTTCCGCCTCCTATTTCGCGCCTTCTCTTTTAGGCTCGGAGGGGGCGGAGTTGGAATGGCTGTACCACCGTTGCCGAGGCGACGACTTGGTTACTTCCGTTGGTACCAATACTTCCGGGTTGGCGTTGCAGTGGCGCTTCCGACTGTGGGAGCCTCGTCTTCCCAGTCGTCCGATGAGCCCGAGCAGGTGAGGGGGAGCTCCTGGGCTTCAAGGCTGGGGAGCGGGGCTGGGCCGCGCCAGGCCGCGCGGGGCCGGGCTGGCCTGTTTCCCGGCCTGGGAGGGGCTTAACGGTCCTTTGGTCTCTCTCTCCCCTCAGCTGAGTCCCTTCCCTGTCTTTCACTCTTCTGGCATCGGTGGTTTTACTTCTTCGATTGAACCCTGCTTCCTCGACCCCCCAGGGAGGCCGCCTCCTTCAGGCGCCTCCCTTCTCTCCACGAACTCGCTCTGACAGCTGAGGAACTGGCAAGATCCTGCTACCCAGAGGGTGAATGGGTATCTTTCCCGGAATAATCCTAATTTTTCTAAGGGTGAAGTTTGCAACGGCGGCCGTGATTGTAAGCGGAGTAAGCAAACACCTCCATTGTATTAGTGTGACGGATGCTGTTGAAAGATGCTCCCCTTCAGTTTCTACCCCCTGCCACTCCTTGAGGTCAAGGCATTGAAGGCATCTATTAAAATGCAGTTCAGCTAACTAATTAGGATGACAGCCATTATTAACATGAACTAGTTTCTCAGACAAGGTAACAGCAGGGACATTTGTAGTGTTCTGTCAGTGTTTCCTTGTTTTTTTCAGGCTGGGGATGCTTCAAGTCATCATGAACTCTTCCCTCCCCTTCATTCCCTACATCATCAAGTTCCTTTGTGTCTCTATTTTAGAAGTTTATCTCTAACCTCACTGCCAACAAACATCTTGTCTGCTTTACTTCACACCATCCTAAGCTAGTTTCCCTGCCTCTCCTGTTTGTAATCCACTGGTTGGCTGAAGCCCTAGTAGGCTAACTAAATGTGGTAGATTTCCTCAAGTCACTTCCCTATTCAAAAATTTACAGTATCCCTCCCACCCTGCCACACACACTTTGGTTTCAGGACTTTCAACTTAACCTGTTCCTTATCATACTTTTTGTCTGATACTGTTTCAGTCAGATAAAATAATTCTCTGTTCCAGTTAGATTGCACTCTTCCTTCTGGGTCAAACCATACTGATGCTTGCCTCCACATGCTGTGTTTTTCCCCACATTTGTATCTATCCATCCTGTTCTCCTCCCCGCACCCTCTCCTTACCTATACCTGTTGAGATTCTACCTGCCCTCTGTCAAGGCCCACTTTAAGTTCTCTCATCTCCATAAGCCTTTTCAAATTATTCAAGCCCATGCGGATTGTCTCATTTTCCATGCTTCTCCTGCTCTTATAGTTTGTGCTACATAGTTTGGCACTTATTTTTTTCTTTAATGAACTACTCTGATTTCTTCCACCAGTTTATAAGCTCTTGAAAGGCAAGAACTGTATTTCATACAACTTTTATCCCCACACCCATCTCCTTAATTATCCAGGAAACATAAATATTGTCATGGTGTTAGAACATATGTTGTGTGTGTGTGTGTGTTTGTTTGTTTTAAACATCATGTTTATACCCATAGCACATTTGGGCATTTAGTATGCCTTCAATAAACATTTGCTTGACTCTCCATTATTACCTCCTGAATCTGAGAATCTCTAACGCCTACTCTTCCTTAAAGGAGAAAGCAAGAAAGGCACCTGCATTTTTCTGACCAGATCTTTGGAGTAGTGTAACAGGGTTATGTAATTTGTGTTCTAGATATTCTTCTCACTCTTTAGGCTATAAGATTTCCCTTAGTCAGACTTCAGAATACATGTCTGCATTTTGAAGGCATTTTTCATTGGCTTCTTAACACGATAAAAATATTTAAGGTACTATATTTCTACTTCAACTCAGATATGACTCTTTTCTTTTACCCATATCTGGGGATAGCCCCCATAAGTCAAAATCATTTTTAGAGTGCTTGGGGTATTTTACACAAGTAATTCTCTGCAACAAAAGCCAGGGGAGAGAATTAGTAGGGAGAGAATCTCTGAGGACCAGCAAAGTGTTGTGTACAGTGTGTAGCATTGGTCAGGTCCAGTAAGTTAACTTTCAAATTTTCCCTGTAACCTTTTACATACAGGCTGTATACATGCATAAAGGACATCACACTGGAACCAACCAAGTATTTATCAATAATGGACGTATACCCAGTTCTGTACCAGCTATTGTAGGGGTTATAAAAAGTACTGTGAGACATGGTGTCGGCCTTCAGGGATCTTACCTAGTTAAGAGAGAAAATGACATGGGGCAACCAGAAGATAAACCTCATCCTAGTCATTATTTGTATGCCTGAGATTTAAGATATATAAGGGATACATGAAGGCTCAAAAGAGCATTATACAGCTGTGGAATAGCTATGACATAACATGCATGCATATATACAGCCTTATGTAAAAGGTTTTAGCTGACATTTGAGTGATTCAGTAGTGTGATATGGCCCCTACAAAAGTGACTGAAATTTTCAGCTGTAGTAATTGAAGTGTAATATAGAGAATGACAAAAATGAGCACAAAGTAGGGTAGCCAGTCTTATTTTGCCAAATAAGAACACTAAACAATATCAGCTACCAACTACTAATACATTTCATACAAGAAAGGTGATTTTTAAAAAATGCTCCAGGAGTAGGAAGAACATGATCTTGTAATAGTCCTTTACATTAAATACATTTAGCTGAAATAAAAGGCACTAGGTGCCCTTATTTTCTTTAGTTCAAGCCAGAATCGTGAACATTTTCATTAAAGAACCACTGGGCTAACGGACCTGAGATTGTGACTGGTCTTTCTGGTCCCTGCTGTGGCTTTGACCCCTGCCTTTAATTGCTTTATTATTGCTCCCTGAACCCTGAGCACATCTTCTTTATTAAAAGGCTGGGTAGCAGGTAGTCAAGTCAGACTTCTTCTGCGATGAAAAGAGTTGAAGGAAGTTATAAAGAGAAAGTGTTGGAGACAAGTATAGCAGCCATTTGAAATGTTTGATTGTTTTGGGCAATCTCTAAATTGGTGAATGGAAAGGGCATTCCACCTTGCCCCAACTTAGAGAAGGGATATGCCATGGTCCTTGCTTTTCCATGCCTACCCTCTCATCATTTGTGTCATGTTTTACTATCAGTTGTAATCTTAAAATATGGGCATAGCTGAAAATGTTGATAAGGTAGTATTTAGTACTCAAGACTTATCTCAAGCTGCAGCTGATAATTGAATTGCTTATTGCTACTTTGCTTTTTAGAATTATTTTCAACAGTTTTCCTCCAAAAGAGTTGTCTACTGCAGACTCTGTCAGATGGACTGGCTGATCATACTATGTTTGAAAGGAAGTTTCCATAATTATTTTTCTGGCCTCTAAAACATTTGTCTGCATGTTAGCTATCCTCTCTGGAAAATTGTTCTTTTGTGCTTAGTTACAGAGAATTCCTTATGTGGAAACGAAACAAAACCTTGTCTCCCATAAAAAGAGACTGTGATTCAATGGTGCTAACCCCAGATTGGGCAGTAGGGGAGGTGGGCAGTAAGTATTATCTGTTAAAATGTATATTTGAGTACTTAACTATTCAAAAATGTAATAATGATAATAGCTAATAGTTGAACTAGGTGCCGGGTACTTTTCTAAGTGTTTTACATATATTATTTAATTTTCACAACAACCCTATAATATAGTATTTATTATTATTCCCATTTTACAGTTCAGAAAACTCAGGCACACAGTGGTTAAATAACTTGCCCAAGGTCACAGAACTAATAAGTGGTGGTGTCAGGATTTAAACCTAGGCAAGTCTGACTTTAGAGTCTTCATTCCTGACTGTAAACCACTTGAAGTTGCTTTTGAAATTCAATAGTATGCATACCATGAAGATCTGAAAAAGGAATATTTAAAAGAAATCTGAGAATCCATCCTCAGAAAATAGATTGCTTCCAGCTGGACCAGGATTTAGTAGGCAATGCCTAGAGTAGTAGTTCTTAAAGCGTGGAAGCATCAGCATTATTTGCAAATTTGCAAATTTCCCAGACCACCAATCAAAAACTCTGAGGGTAAGGCCCAGCAGTCAATGTTTTAATCTGCCTTCTAGATGATTCTGGTGCACATTGAAATTTGAAAACCACTGATTTAGAAGGCAGAACTGGAAAAAATAAAATCCAAGAGGGAAATAGCTGGGAGTGGCCGGAAAAAAAGACTGAAAATATTGAGGGTGACAGGTCTAATGGGGGCGGGATGGGGAAGGAGGTGAGGGGGATGGGGAGTAGTATACATTGTTAAAGAACCCAAACATCAAAGAAAAACAATATTTGTATGTATGTGCTTTAAAAGGCCAGGGAAAAGGAGATTCATTAGATGGATGTATGTTAAATGTCAGAGAGAGGAGAGACATCATCCATATTGCCATCATTCCTCTGGGAACCAGAAGGAAGGTGAAAATGTGCTTAACTTACCCTGGGCCTAGTGGGGGGAGGTTGTGTGTAGCTGGAAAGTAGCTAGATGAAATAAAACCCTAAAATTTAGTGGAGAGATGAGAGGACTAAGACTATGAGAGGGTAGTGGTGTCAGTCTGCCTTGCACCTGAATCAAGCTAACTGAATACCATGAACTGCTTTTATGAGATGCCTCAGCCTATATAATTTAAAGTCCAGGCTCCTTCACTTGTAATTGTCTAGTTGGATGTCTAAGTTGGGTGTGCTGGATGGAATGAAACCTCTTCTTTGGGTGGGGATGGGAATAACATTAAAGAAACTAGAGAACGTGAAGGGCACAGGTTGATATTTGAGTGAATCGAACACTTACCTCTACAGAATGGCAGTAAAGAACACATTCATGATCATCACATAAAACAGGAGCCTTCATTTTTTGTCATTCCACCTGGTAGGGTTTTTTCTCTACATTTGTTTTATTTGCAAATTTTGTTGATATAAATTATGTGATCATACACTAACAGATGCTCCTCACTCTTGTGCCTTGTTCTGATTTGTGTTTACTTTTAGCACCAGAAAAGTGCCACTGTAAGCCATGAGATGTCTGGTCTGAATTGGAAACCCTTCGTATATGGCGGCCTTGCCTCTATTGTTGCTGAGTTTGGTAAGAAAGTGAAAACTGAGAAACCTGCTCCTTAGGGTATAGATATGGTAGCGTTATTTGTTTTTTGTTTTTTTTTGCGGTACGTGGGCCTCTCACTGTTGTGGCCTCTCCCGTTGCGGAGCACAGGCTGCGGACGCGCAGGCTCAGCGGCCATGGCTCACGGGCCCAGCCGCTCTGCGGCATGTGGGACCTTCCCGGACCGGGGCACGAACCCACGTCCCCTGCATCGGCAGGCGGACTCTCAACCACTGCGCCACCAGGGAAGCCCGCTTGCCCTATTTAAAAAAAAAATTATCATAAGAAAGTAATGTACTTTAAATATATATATTTATTTATTTATTTGGCTGCACCGGGCCTTCGTTGGAGCACGCAGGACCTTCGTTGCCGCGTGCTGGATCTTTGTGCGGCATGTGGGATCTTTAGTTGTGGCATGCAGGATCTTTTAGTTGCAGCATGCAGGATCTAGTTCCTTGACCAGGGGTTGAACCTGGGCCCCCTGCATTGGGAGCGCAGAGTCTCAACCACTGGACCATCAGGGATGTCCCGCCCTATTTGTTTTAAAAACTGTTGTCTCAAAGCTATCAAGTAATATTTTCTTTATATATGGAATCTAAAAAAAAATGGTTCTGATGAACCTAGGGGCAGGACAGGAATAAAGACGCAGATGTAGAGAATGGACTTGAGGACACGGGGAGGGGGAAGTGTAAGCTGGGATGAAGTGAGAGAGTGGCATGGACATATATACACTACCAAATGTCAAATAGATAGCTAGTGGGAAGCAGCCTCAGAGCACAGGGAGATCAGCTCTGTGCTTTGTGACCATCTAGAAGGGTGGGATAGGGAGGGTGGGAGGGAGATGCAAGAAGGGGGAGATATGGGGATATATGTATACGTATAGCTGATTCACTTTGTTATACAGCAGAAACTAACACACCATTGTAAAGCAATTATACTCCAATAAAGATGTTAAAAAAAAAGATGTACACCTTAAAGAAAAAAAAGTACTACAGACGGTATGGCAAGTGAAGTTAAGAAAAGTCAATTTTAGGAAGCTGTTTTGATAGTTTAATTATTTGTTAATTTGCTATGCTTAGGAAACATACATGAAAATATAGAGGGAGTGAGATAAGATAGGGGTTTCTGTTATATTCTTATACAAATGGCCTTTCTTTGTGCTCAGTTGTTTATAAATTTCTTAGTAAGTATTCAGATTTCCTTTTTTCAAACCTCTTTCCCATTTTAGAAGATTGACCAAGATCAAACCAGATTCTTTTCTATTTGATTTTAATTTTGAAATACTTTTAGATTGTGTTTTTTCATCTTCCAAATTTTCTTTCCTAAACTGTTCATAAGTGACCCCAATCCACTAGTTTTTATTGACTTTCTTGGCATATTGTCTGGTGTTATGATATCAAGGTCATCAGTGACCAGAGCTGCATAAATGTCTTGTTAGTTTTAGACCTTGAAATAGTCCTTGAAATATATTTTGCCAATGTAATGACCACTTCTCTGTGTTGATATAATAAGAGAAAGAAGTTTGGTTAAAGAAAATTTCCCACTCAGCACTGTGCTGGTGTTAGTCCTGAATTACCTAAGGAACCCAGATGAGTAGGCCAAATAGGACTTTGCCATTATCTTTCATAATACTAGAAAACTATTTCTCATAGACAGATAAAAGAAAAAACCCACAAAACTTTGTAATAGTATTTAAGAGTATGTGGAGCAGCAATCCCATGCTTTCCTATATTCTTGGTGAAGATTTGGGGAGATTTTATGAGGGAGAAGTAGGGAGACTTGAGGTGGGAGGGGGGCAGAAGGAAGAGACAGATAAATGCCAGATTGTATGTTAACAGGTGAAATTAAAACATTTACGTATTTTGCATTTATAGTGTATTAGGACTATCCTAAAGCACTTTATTATATCACAGTTTCAGTTATACTGTGGGTCAAATCCTGCTGCCTAGATATAGTACATTTCACTTTATCACATACAACTCTTGTCCTCTGATAGTGATATTTAAGTAGAGACCTAGGTGTTAGAAAAAGAACTTTGTCTTATGTTTTAAAAATTACCATTGGCTTAAATTCATCCAAAACTTAACTGTGATTCTTTGGAAAAACTTATAAATGAGTGTGTTCCTTCACAGGAACTTTCCCTGTGGACTTGACCAAAACGCGACTTCAAGTTCAAGGCCAAAGTATTGATGTCCACTTCAAAGAGATAAAATACCGAGGAATGTTTCATGCCTTGTTCCGAATCTATAAGGAAGAAGGTGTATTGGCTCTGTATTCAGGGTGAGACTGGACTCTTTCCTTACGTCACGAATAGAAGTACTTTTTTGAGAAGCCATGTATTTCAGCTGTCTGATAGTTTGTGCCCTTTATATTCACCATTTCAACTTATAATTCAATATTGATGTGCCAGTTTATATTTCACCTGCTTGTAAATCTTGAGCTTTGGATCTTGTGTTCATTTGGCTATAAGCGATACATTTTAAAGTGGATATCTCATTGCAGCATTGGCTTTTTCCTGTTTTCCTGAGAGTCATCCATAGCCACTGTGAATAGCGGCACCAATTCGCAGTATATATTTCTGTGATAATCTTCCTGAGTTGCCAAATACTGACTTGTAAAAAAATTTTTCCTCTTTAAAGAAATACTATTCTGGCAGTTTAAATAGAAAATGCAGAATGAAAGAGCGGGAGATCCATCATTTTTTTGGGGGGGTCATCTTTTGGTTATTCATATGTCAGTGGTTTATTGTCCAGTGTGTTGTTTATCTGCTGCCAATTTACTAGTCCACTCCTGCATCTAGGGTACCAGTTTATTGCTCAGAGAATGGATATCAGTTTTATTATTAACTTACGTTAGCCTTAATTTCAAAGATAGTTTACTTGGGGGAGAAAATCAAGTATTACATCCTTAAGCAAGTGAATCATGGATCATCTGTTTCACCTTGTTCTTTTATCAGCACAGATGATCACAAGATTATTTTTTTCAGATAGCAAGCAATAAAGTCAGAAATATGCATGTTTTGTCATCATTTTAAAATCTTAACTGTTTGAGCTGCTGCTGTCTTTCTATTTATAACAGCTAAAGTATACTTCTGCAGTTTGGAAGAATCTCAAAGGAGGTATGAGTGAGAATGTCTCCAGTTTATAAGCAGAACTTAAATAGGGTGAAATCTTGGCTCTGGTACCTCCTTGATAGGATTGAAGATATATCTGCATCTGCTAGGAAGTAAGGTTGATTTAAAAAAAAAATCTATGAAGTGGGTAACGGTGTATACTTTTTCTACATTACTGGATTCAATATGCTGATATTTTGTTAAGGAGTTTTGCATCTAAGTTCATGAGAGATATTGGCTTGTAGTTAGTTTTCCTTTTCTGTACTGTTTTTTTGGTTTTGTTAGCAGGGTAATACTAGCTTCATAAAATGAGTTAGGAAGTGTTCCCTCTTCTGTTTTCTGGAAGAGATTGTGTAAGATTGGCATTCATTTATTAAATATTTGGTAGAACTCCCCAGTGAAATGATCTGGATGGGCCTGGAGAGTTCCTTTTTGGGAACTTTTAAATTATAAATTAAAAAATTTTAATGATTATGAGATTATTCAGATTATCTATTTCATCTTGATCGAGTTTTGGTAGTTTGTAGTTTGCAAGGAATTAGTCCATTTCTTCTAAGTTGTTGAATTTATGAGCATAAGGTTGTTTATAGTATTCCTTTATTATTCTTTTAATGACTGCAGAATTGTAGTGCTATTCCTCATTTTATTCCTGTTGGTGACATTTCTCTTTTTACTACTGGGACCCTTGCTAGAGTTTTATTAGTTTTATTGATTTTTTTTCAAAATAACTTTGTTTCATTGATTTTTCTTTATTTTCCTGTTTTCAAGTTTATTAATTTATGCTCTTTATTATTTACTTCCTTCTGCTTGCTTTGAGTTCATTTTGCTCTTCTTTTTTCTAGTTTCTTGAGGGTAGGAACTTAAATTATTGATTATTTTGAGACTTTCCCTCTTTTCTAATGTAAGCATTTTGTGCTATAAATTTCTCTCTCAGCACTGCTTTGGTTGCATCCCACATATTTTAATAGGTTGAATTTTCATTTTCATTCAATTCTATTTATTTAAAAAATACACCCATGTCACCCATGGATTGTTTAGAAGTATCATTTAATTTCCAAGTGTTTGTGGATTTTCCTTATTGATTTACAGCTTAATTCCATTATGGTCAGAGAACATATTCTATATGATTTCAATTATTTTAAATTTTTGAGGTTTGTTTCATGACCTAGATGTGCTCTCTTGATGAATCCATGGATGCTTGAAAAAAATGCATATTTTGCTGTTTTTATAGAATGAGGGGGGTGATGGAAGTGAGTAGGCTGTCTAGATATGTATAATCTGTGAGTGCATGTTAAGTATAACTGACTTTCTTTTTCTTTCCTTCTTTCTGGCAGAATCGCTCCTGCTTTACTAAGACAGGCATCATATGGCACCATTAAAATTGGCATTTACCAGAGCTTGAAGAGATTATTTGTAGAACGTTTAGAAGGTCAGTATAAGACTCCTTATTCTCTTTTAAGGTAACACTCAAAGGGATTGTTGAAATCATGCTTAATGAGAAGTGTTCATCACAGGGTGCCTGAGAATGGGTAGCAGTCATTGCAAGGACAAAATAAGCTTGTACTGATTTGGGATTAATCCTTGCAGAGGTGATGTATAGGTTAGAGGGACCTGCTCTTCAAGTTTGTCCCTTTTCCTATCAAACGAACAAAAACAGGCTTCTGGTCATCACAGAGAGAACATGGAGCAAACTTGTTGAGAAAATTAATGCTGTCCTCATCTACAAGAGGACTTCAACTATAAGGAATCCTCTAGCTGTGGGTTTTGATAAGCTTTGGTCAGGTAGAGTAGTTTTATATATATACAAAATATGGCCACCTTAACCCACATTCAGCATTACCATATGTCTCTCTATTTGCTGCTGTAGCTTTTTCAGCTGGATACTATACTAAAATGGTTATTTTACTACAGGCCTGAGGCTGTTGCATAGTTGGGGACAGCTGGAGAGCTTTTCGGTTGGTAATGTCCTTTGAATTGCTTTATTGTCTAAGTCAACTTTTTCTGGAGCCTTTTTGCGGTACACGGGCCTCTCACTGTCGTGGCCTCTCCCGTTGCGGAGCACAGGCTCCGGACGCGCAGGCTCAGCGGCCATGGCTCACGGGCCCAGCCGCTCCATGGCATGTGGGATCTTCCCAGACCGGGGCACGAACCCGTGTCCCCTGCATCGGCAGGCGGACTCCCAACCACTGCACCACCAGGGAAGCCCGGTTTACCTAGGTTTTAACTTGTAGGCTCGCTCTGGTGAGGAGGCGTGGTGAAGATTGAATTTTAGAACAATACGCTCTGTGGTTTCTTTGTTCTTTTTTCTAGCTGAGAGGATTTAGTTCCAAATGACTAGTTTCTCCACATTTAACTACAGAAATCTTCTGTCAATAAATAGAGGCTAGTAGATAATATGGCCAATTAAAATTAATATTTAGGTATTTTTTTTCCTATTAGACATAAGATTTTATCCTTTAACATTCGGTTCCTGAGTCTTTAGAGTTGATGATTCTCCAGAAAAAGACTTAAAAATTTTTTTCTTTAGATGTTTGAAATGATTGAAGGAGAAATAGCACATTCTGAATTTATATGGAATATTGGCAGTTATACAGAATAATAGGATATATTCCAGTGTGTTTTAGAAATATCTATTTTAATTTTATATGTTTCAGTACTGATTTGGAACCTAGAAATATTTGAGTTTCTTTATTTTCATAAGCTTTGTGGTTCATTTCTGTAGTCAGTTCTCTGACATGGTTCCCTTTCTCTGATAGCTCAGTGCTCTGTTCTCAGAAACTGGTACCTCTTACAAGCAGACCTTTCTTTTTTTTGTTCATTTTTACAGATGAAACTCTTTTAATTAATATGATATGTGGGGTAGTGTCAGGAGTGATATCTTCCACTATAGCCAATCCCACCGATGTGCTAAAGGTAAGAGAAGTCTGGCAGCGTTGGATGTATGCAGTGTGACACGAAAAGAGCATGAGCTTTGAGTCAGATTTGGGCTCAGATCCCCACTCCGCACTTGCCAGCTGTAAAACCTTGGGCAAATCACTTAACTGCTTTAAGCCTCAGTTTCTTCATTTGTAAAATGAAGATAATTCAGTATGTATTGCATAGGGTTGTTAAGGATTAAAGATAATATATGTAAACTGTTATCATTGTACTTGGTAGGTAGTTGATGCTTAATAAATAGTAGTCAATTTATTATGATGTGCATTAATCCATTGGTCTTCAAACTAGAGTATGCAAACCTTTATAGGTTCTTTCCAAGGGGGATATGCAATTTTTTTGGGGGGGGCTATGCAATTTTAAGGGAATCAATTTCCAGATCCCTTACTTTCTTTGTACCCTTCTCAAAAACTGATCTGAAAATGAGCTTGTGTTTAGAACAGCCCTTGCCCCACTTTACAAAAGAAAGGCACATTCCCCCACCCATTCCAAAACACAGTATGGTATATTGACCTGTGGTGTAACCTGGAGTATCAGACAAAGAGATAAAGTGAAATACAGTTTTTAGAGAAGCCTCCTTTAATAACTAATTGAAATACTGTAAATCTATAATGTCGCTATCTTTTCCTGTCTTATCCATATTTCTATTAAGAATGAGATTTGGCTTTAAAATGATATATTTTGGCCTATTAGAGATATTCTGAATTCAGAACCAGAACAGTATAGGTTAGTGGTGCTGAGTTTTTTTACAACGTAATTGAATTTCTTTCAGATTTTATCAAAATTCAGAATAAAACATTTATTTAATAATATCAGTGATATCAATCTATATCTTATTTAATCTAATAATCTAACTTAATCTAATAATAGCAATCCGCATCTTATTTTTGAGATAAAATCGTTAACATTTTTTACTTATTAACTCATTTACACTTATGATAATTAAAAGCACTAAATATATGATTAAAATGTGTAAGAGGATCCCAAGTTTTTAAAAATCATTTTAGGGGGAATGTGAGAAAAAAGAGTAAGAGAACGTATGTTTTATTTATTTGAAACCACAAGTGGCTAGGTTGGTGGAGGGGAGATCTATTGTGATTCAGAGTTTTGAGAACCGAGAGAGTGACTTGAAAAACAACACACGTGAAAGAAACCAGTGGTGGTTGATGAAGAAATGATATGAAATGATATTTCTGGGTTAAATTGAGAGTACTTTAGCTACAGAATTTTTATATCACTTTAGACTTACAGAACAAGTATTTTGAAGATAATTGACTATATCCTAAAACTCTAAAATATGTGCAATATAATTACACTGGTTAGAATGTGCTTTTCAAGAACAATAATATTTAATTCCCTAAAACTTCCTTTGTTATCCATCAGGGTCCTAAACTTAATCATATAAGTGATTCACTTCAATTTCCTGTTGCTCTGACCTGTCTGGTACAATTACAACCATTGACCAATGCTACGATCTCCCTTTTCCTTTCATATCCTTAGGTAGGGCTGAGTGGTGAGTGGTGCTGGGACGTGGAGGGTCGGGGGTAGTCACAATCCTATATAGGAGTTATAATCACAGTTGGGCTGTTTAATTCTTTCATTTATCCTTGAATAGATCTTTCTCTGAACTACGTGCCGCTTCCTTGCCTTTGTGCATGTAGTTCTCTTTTTGCCTGCAATGCCTTTTCCCCCTTTCCTCATGAATTTATCCTTCAAGACTGCTCAGGAACAGGGCCAAGACTAGGACAAGGGAGATACTCCCCTTGGGTGCAAAATGTAAGGGTGTGCCAAAAAATTCAATAATCAAGAGAAATAACATTTTTATGCAATATTTTTCAAAAATTAAAATGAATGTGAAAACTTCATGATGAACAAAATAGCAATATTTTGTACAATCCGTCTCACTCACTCTAATCCCGCCCTGTTGGATCCTGTCTTTAATTACAGTTTTGATACTTGGTTCATCATGGGTTTTTGTGCATTAATTTTGATTTTTAAAAATATCACATTAAGATATTATTTATCTGGATTACTGAGGTTTTTTACAACCCCCCCCCCACTACATTTTGTGCCTGAGGAAAGTGCCACACTTGCCTCACCCTCATCCCAGCCCTGGTCAGGAATCACCGGCATAAAGAAGTCTTCTACTTACCATAGGATATTTGTGGTTTCAATTTGTCTTTGTGTTAGTTTCTATTCCATTTTAATTTGGTTTAGGTTTTATTTCAAAACTCTTAGTAGTAGCAGTTGACTTTCCGCATAAAAACATGCTGCTGTAACATGATTTACCAAGAGCATTTATTAAAACCTAGAGTTGTGCTTCATGAAAATCAGGCCTACATTTGGGCCACTAGTACTTAGTGACTGACTACTATGATCTATATGTGCATTCGGTGGAAATTGTACCAAATCTTTTACATGGCCTTTTAATGCTGTATCTCCTTTCTTGTGCCTCTCAAAGGCTACTTTGCAGAATACAGTGTCATGCTTTTTACAAGTAAAACTCAATTTAAGGTCTTGTAAGCATTAAATTATATTTTTAAACTTTTTTCCTGCTTTTTATACTTCAATAAGCAATGCATGTTCAATGTAGTAAAAAGTGGAAGGCAGGAAAAAAACACAAAAGAGAAAAATGCCCACTTGGAGCTTCATCACTTAGACGTAAGCCACTGTCAACATTTGGGTGTGTATGTTCAGTCAGTCTCTTTGTTGAACATATAGTTATTTTTAAGTCTACATGTTTTTGATAAAAATGATATACCATACATACTGCTTTGCAACCTGCTTTTTCTATTTAGCAATTAATTGTTGACATTTTCCAATATCCACAAATATTATTCTACAATAAAATTTTATGGCTGCATAGTATTCCCTTAAATGGATGTATCATAGTTTATGCAGCTAATCCTTTGTTGTTATTTTTGGACATATAGGTTGTTTATAGTTTTTCACTAAACTAATCATAGTTTAAATGGGTTATTTTCTATCCCTACAGAGTACTCATTCTTTCTTTTCCCCAAATTTTTTTCCAACTCCAGAAATGATGGACTTAGTATGAGGAATGTGAGGCTGATAAAAATTGTCTTTATAAAATATACTTTGACACAAATTACATTCTTTCTATATGTAGCTTAAGTCATTAATTTCATCATAATAGTAAGCTGATTTTTAATTCCCAAATACTGTTTTCTTCATTTTAAATGAGTGAAACATCTCAATTTGGTTCTCTGTCAAAATAAAATGTTCACCTCTTCTGATTTTAGATTCGAATGCAGGCTCAAGGAAGCTTGTTCCAAGGCAGCATGATTGGCAGCTTCATTGATATATACCAACAAGAAGGTACCAGGGGTCTGTGGAGGGTGAGTACTCTTTTCTTGGTATTATTCTTTACACAGTTGCTAGAATTTGCAAAAATTACCTTTTATATAAAGCCATAAAATTGTGAATTGTCACCTTATACTATGTAAGATTCTTGGTAACCTAAAAAATAAGGTAAGAAGCTCCTTATCAGCTATGAAAGGACCAAAACTTATCAGTTGTCTTTATTTCTGCTTAATGTTTGGGGATTGTATGTGTGAGAGAAGTTATATTGTTTGAGATAGCCATTTTGGTTTGTTCAAATTCACAGTGAGTTTAACTTTTCAATCTATATTTTTGCCAGTTTTGTATTAACACAGCAATGTATGTTTATGGTAGTCTCTGTAGTGCTTATGATCAAAATTTATTGCCTAAAACAACTTTTTTAACATTATAAAAGGTAAAAGATATACTATAAAATGTTGAGAAAGTATATAAAAGATAAAAATATCCAGTAGTCCCACTAGCTAGAGATATCACTGTTAACATTTTGTCATATTATCTTCCACTCTTCTATCTATACTTTTTAAAATATTTTTGTTCCTGTAATTTTTTATCCAGTTTTAATCACTTAGGATTGTAATATTAAATAAGACTACTAGTAGTAGAGAGTAGAATGGGAAATCCATTAATAGACTCTTAAAAGAGAGAGCTTTGCTTTTATTATTTCTTTATAATTTTCCCTAACTACTTACTATAAAAATTTTCAAACATACAGACAAGTTGGAAGAACAGAACAATGAACACCTACATAGCTGGATTAAATGACTCAAAGTTTGGCCCTATTTGCTTTATCTACTTATGTATATACACACATGCACACATATACCCATACACACACACACACACACACACACACGTGCACACTCTTTTTTTGTTTAAATATCTAATGAGTCTCTCTTTTTCCTTTTTTTCCTAAACTATTTGAAAGGAAGTTGCAGACATCGTGTTACTCCCCTAAGTACTTCATTATGCATCTCCTAAGAATAAGGACATTCTCCTACATAATAACAATACCATTGTCACACCTAAGAAAATTAATAAGTCCCTAATATCTAATACCTAGTCCATATTCAAATTTCCTTTATTGATGAGGTCAGGTCAGTTTTCTTATATAAAATGTTTCCTTGCATTTCCCCTGTATTTCCTGTAAGCTAGAAGTTAGATCTGTTGGTTTGATTAGATGCATGTTAAACTTCATAGATGACACTATTTCATATGCATCACAGCAAGAGACACAAAATGATAGTTTGTCCCAAAATTGGTGATGCCAAGTTCGTTTACTTGTTAAGATGATGCCTACCAGGTCTTATCATAGTAAAAGATACGTTTTTTTCCCCCTTTGCAATTAGCAAGTAATTTGTAGGGTAATATTCTAACAATGTGCATATATCCTATTACTTAATGACCTTTCACCAAATGATCTTAGTATCCGTTAATGATCCTTGATGTTTGCTTTTTGATAAAAAGCACTTGGAGATACACTTTCTTTTCCCCTTCCTTCCTTCCGTCCTTCCTTTTTCTTTCTTTCTTTCTTTCTTTCTTTCTTTCTTTCTTTCTTTCTTTCTTTCTTTCTTTCTTTCTTTCTTTCTTTC